TCCCACAGATCCAGCCTGATCCCACTGATCCCACAGACCCAGCCTGATCTCACTGATCCCACAGATCCAGCCTGATCTCACAGACCCAGCCTGATCCCACTTATCCCACAGACCCAGCCTGATCCCACTGATCCCACAGACCCAGCCTGATCCCACTGATCCCACAGATCCAGCCTGATCCCACTGATCCCACAGATCCAGCCTGATCCCACAGACCCAGCCTGATCCCACTGATCCCACAGATCCAGCCTGATCTCACAGACCCAGCCTGATCCCACGGATCCAGCCTGATCCCACAGACCCAGCCTGATCCCACAGACCCAGCCTGATCCCACTGATACCACAGACCCAGCCTGATCCCGCTGATCCCACAGATCCAGCCCAGCCCCTACAGAGCGTTCCCTCATGTCCCCCATGAGCTGAGGTCACAGACAAGGACATTAATCAGGACTGGGAGCCCCGGGGGGGGGCAACAGAGCTGCAAAATCCCAGGATTTAGGTGGGATTTACCCCTGGTTCCGGAAGAGCTGGCAGGGACGGGGACACTCCGAGGGATTTTGTGCATGGAGGTGCCCCTGCCGAGGACACTCCAGGGAGGGCCTCTCTGATAGTGATTTTATTAAACTATTTTAACTGATTCCATGATTTCTTTGGGTGGACAATGGCCCCAGAGGCCGGGATAGCAAATCCAGGTGTTTGTCCTGACAGGGGGAGCGCAGCCAGATCCTTCCTTCTGAAAACCCCAATTCCCTGGAATGCAGGGCTCAGGGACCCCAGTACTCCCAGTACTCACATGAGGACGATGACCAGGAAGTTGGCGAAGGGGGGGATGGCGATGATCCCGATGGGAATGGCCTTGAGCGCGTCCCTGCGGAACTGCCTCCAGACCGAGGAGAGCGAGTCAGGATCCGGCCCCCCACCCCCCCCAAACCCCCGGGATTTCCTGCAGCTCCCAATCCCAGCGGGGGCTGCAGCTCCCAGTGCCCGTGTTGAGGGGCATCCCCCTGGGAATTCCAGCCCCTTTCCCACAGGGAGGGGCCTCACCTGGCGCAGCCTCTCCATGTCCCGGTACGGGAGCTGCTGCACCTCGAGGCGCTGCTGGGACATCCTGGCCCTGATCCTGCTGATCTCCTTCACCTCCAGGAACAGCGCCTGGATCCCTGTGGGGCACAGCGTGGATTCCCAGGGGGTGCAGCTGCTCCACCCTGAGCAGCAGGACATGTCCCACCTCCTGGGACACTTCGGGGCTCCCCCTGGGGCCTCACCTGAGGTGAAGGTGCTGTACAGGAGGTAGAACCTGGGGAAGCTCCTCTCCAGGTACCGCTCGTACCTGGCGTTGACCCTGCGGGCCACGGCGACCACGGCGGCCACGAGGGCCCGGGAGGTGGCCCGGGACGAGAGGGGACACAGCTGGGACCTGCACACCCGGCACCTGCGGCATCCCCCGGGTCAGCTCCGGGCTCCTGCCGCCCCCGGAGAGGTGAGGGGGCGCTGGGAGCCCCGCCGGGAGAGGTGAGGAAGAGCTGGGACCACCCCCGGGAGAGGTGAGGGGATGCTGGGACCACCCCCGGGAGAGGTGAGGGGATGCTGGGACCACCCCCGGGAGAGCTGAGGGGGTGCTGGGACCACACTCGGGCCAGGGAATCAACCCGGGCTCGGGGGACAGGGGGAGGGAGAATCCAGGTGGCACCGGGGCAGGGACAGCACCGCGGGAATGGGGGCTTTGTGGGGTGACGGGGGGCACTGAGGGGGCATTGGGGGCTGGGCATGGCGGGGGGGGTGGGGAGGGGGCATGGCCAGTCCCGGGGAGCGTAACGGGGGAGGACCAGGGGAGTAAGGGGTGGAGACTGTATTTGGGGGAGGGTCAGGGCTGCCGTCGGCACTGGGAAGGGTCGGGGCCCGTGCTCGGTGTTTTGGGGAGGGGATGGGGGCCCGCGGTCGGTGTCTGGGGGGGCTGTGGTCGGTGTTTGGGGGGGTCAAGCCTGCTGCGCAGGCGGCCGTCCCTGAGGAGGTCGTGTCCCACGGGCCGTGGCTGCCCCGGAGGGCGGTCCCCGCTCACCTGAGCGCCCCCAGGGCGAGCAGTGGCTCCGTGCGGCCCCGGGGGGGGCCGAGGGCGGCGGGGCCGAGGCGCCAGAGCCCCCCGCGGGCGGCGGCCCTGGACAGCGCCATCTTGGCGGGCACGGGCCGCGGTCACGTGGCGCTGCGGCCGCTGATTGGCTGCCGGGGCTCCGGGGGCGGGGCCTGGATCGATCACTTCCCCCCCCACACACACCCCCGGTACCGGCCCCGGGACCCCCGGCCCGATCCCCACCCCCGGGACCGGCCCCGGGACCCCCGGCACGATCCCCACCCCCGGGACCGGCCCCGGGACCCCCGGCACGATCCCCACCCCCGGTACCGGCCCCGGGACCCCCGGCCCGATCCCCACCCCCGGTACCGGCCCCGGGACTCCCGGCACGATCCCCACCCCCGGTACCGGCCCTGGGACCCTCGGCACGATATCCCCCCCCCCGATCCCCCATCCCCGGTATCAGCCCCGGGACCCCTGGCCTGGACCGGTACCCCCTCCCTCCGCCACCGGGACCCCCGGCCTGGAGCCTGGACCGGGATCCTCCTCCCGCTTCACCGGGGGTTAAATCCCTTCCTGGCCTTTGAGAGGACCGTGGGGGGCCACCCCACACCATCCCCCCTCATCCCCCCGCTGTCCGGGCATGGGGGAGGCCAAATCCCCCAGCAAAGGGACCGGGAATTCCCAAGTCCTGCTTTGGGAATTCCAAGTTCTGCTTTGCCCCTTCTCCGACCTCTTTCAGCCCCTGCATGTCCTGGGGATCGATCCTTGGGAGATTTCTGGGATGCTCTTCCCTCCCTCCAGCCGGATCCCGGCCCCCCTGTTGCTCCCCGCGGGGCGCGTGGCTCGTGTCACGCACCCCCCGCGCCCTCCCCACCCTGCCGTGCCCCGGCACTGCTCACTCAGCTCTTGGTTATCTGGGGAGGGGGTTATCGCTGCCCCCGGCGGGGCCGATAAGGGCGGATCGATCCCGCGGGACGATCCTGCCCGCACGTACCGGAGGGACCCGCGTGGGCCCCGATCAGAGTCCTCGTGGATCGGCGGAGCCGCCGGAAACTCCTCAGCCCCGGCCACGGGGCCACTTCAAAGCGGGTTAATGGGGAGTCAATTAACGATCGGGAGATTTCGGGAGCCTTTGAGGAGCCTTTGAGGCGCCTCCGAGCTCCCTCGGGAACTCTGCTCCGGGTGGAGGCGAGGGAAGGAAGGAAGGGACACCGCTTAAATAGGGAGGGGACACCCCCAGGGAGAGTGGGACACCCTCGGGCCTCGAAGAGCGCGGCAGGAGCACCATCATGCCCACCAAACCCACCCCCGGCTGCGAGCTGGGTGAGTACCGACCCCCCCCCTCCCGGGGGCTGGCACCGCCCCCAGCCCAGAACACCCGGGATTTGGGGGATTCGGACAGTTTCCCACCCCCAGGCTGCCTGTGGGGTCAGTCACACCTGGCTTTAGGTGGGCACTGATGGGTGATTCCCACCTTTGATGCCCGCGCTGTGGGGTCAGGGCTGAGGGCAAATCAGGGAGTTTCCCATCTCCTGGATTTCTCATTTTCCCAGGGTTTGGTCACTTAGCAGCACCTTTAGCAGTGCCCAGCCAGCAGGAGCCGTGTCCCATTCCCAGTTAAATCCATGGGGTTGTTCCTCGGGAAGGGAGTGGTTGAAAAGGAATTATTCCAGGTTTCCAAAGGAATGCACAGAGAAGGAAGAACTCCGGAGGGAGCAGCGTTTCCCTCTGCAAAAACAAACAGCAAATGAAAGAAAAGCCCAGTCAGGCCGTTCTCCCCCAAAACACGGGGTTTTCTGGAAAAGGAGGGAGCAATCCCATCTGGGAGAGATGGGAGCAGTCAGAGGGAACCAGCACCGGAGGGCGCCAAAAGTCTGGGAACTGGGAGAGAAAAAAAGAAGGACTTTGGTACCAAAAGCCCTGCTGGAGGCGGGATGGGGGGAGGAGGGGGGGGGCAAGGGGGATCCCATCGGGGCTCTTGGACTCCAAAGGGATCCACGATTTGGGGTGGAAGGAGCGGCTGTTGGGAGAAGCTCGCGGTGGGAGCAGGGGGATGCTGCAGTTGGTGTGCCCCTCCTCACCACCACGGGGTCCCGGGACTCTCCCGAGGCTCAACATCCCCCACTGAGTTCAACCCGGGACTACGGGGGTGCCCCGACCCCCATACTGGGACTGCACCGGGCTCAGCCCTCTCCCACCGGGGCACAGCGGCCCCCCAGACCCCAGGACCGCGGGGGTGCCAAGGCCCCCTTGTCTCCCCATACCGGGACGGCACCGGGGGCCTGTCACCTCCAAGGTGACCCCCCCAGCACGGGGGCCCAGCCCAGGTGCCATCCCCGGTGCCCCCCGGTGTCACCCGCGGTGCTCCCTCCCTGTCCCTCCCCGGTCCCTCCCCCGGTCCCTCCCCGGTCCCTCCCCCGGTCCCTCCCCGGTCCCGCCCCGTGACGCGCTCGGCGCGCCGGGACGCGGCTCCGGCCGGGCCGGGGATGAGGCGGCGGCGGGGCCGGGGGCGGCCGGGGCCGGTGAGCGATGGGGGCAGTGAGGGGGGAACCCCCGAGGGTGGTCCCACCCCCTTGGGGCGGGGGCGGTTCCCCTTGGAGCGGGGGGATCCTGCCTTGGGGGCGGGTCCCGCGTGTTCTGGGGAGGGGAGTCCTGCCCGGGGGGGTTCTCTGGGTGTGCTGCGGGACCCCCGGGGGGGGGTTACAAGGGGGGCCACGGAGCCGTTGTGCCCCCCACACACAAACCCCAGCGCTCAGGGCCTCCCGCGGCCCCCCGGGCACTGCCCCCCACCGTGGCGGGGCTCGGGGACCCCCGGTGACCTTGGGGTGTCCGGGGGGTCCCTGCGGGCAGCGCGGGGGCGGCGGCACCGAGTCTCGTCCTCTGGGCTCCTCTTTAAGGTTTGAGGGGGCCCCGGGGCCCCCCAGGCTCTTCCCTCGCCCCTCCGAGGTGCGGGGGGTGCAGGGACCCTGCAGCGGGTCTGGGGTGCGGTGGGAGCACAGCCCCGGGAGCAGCGGGATCGCAGCCGTGGAACCCTGGGATCGCTGGGATCCCCCGGGGTCACAGCCATGGAACCCTGGGATTACCCATGGAACCCCGGGACTTGTGGGGTCACAGTCACAGAGCCCCGGGATCGCAGCCGTGGAACTCTGGGATCTTTGGGATCCCCGGGATCGCAGCCGTGGAACTCGGGGATCTCTGGGATCCCCGGGATCGCAGCCGTGGAGCGCCCTCGGGCTCAGCAGCCCCACGGAGCTCGTCCTGCCCGGGCTGAGGTTCCCGGACACGTGTCCTTGTCCCTGCAGATCCCCCATCCGGGGTCCCCGGTCCCAGCTCCGGAGCCTCCCGGCGTGTCCCGGTGGGGACGGTGAGTCCGGCCGGTGCCCCCGGGGCGGTTCAGGGAATGTCGCC